GTTACAAGAAATAATGGCCACAAGCTAGCAGAGAGCAGATTTAGATTGGACATTAGGAAGAACTTCACAGTTAGAGTGGCCAAGGTCTGGAACGGGCTCCCAAGGGAGGTGGTGCTCTCCCCTACCCTGGGGGTCTTCAAGAGGAAGTTAGATAAGCATCTAGCTGGGGTCATCTAGCCCCATCTCTCTTTCCTGCCTATACACGGGGTCGGACTCGATGGCCTATTGAGGTCCCTTCCGACCCTAACATCTATGAATTATATTGATGCTACTGCTGATTTGTTAAAAAACTAAGTAGAAGACCAGTTTGTTAGAGGACTAAATAACTGTTTCTGTTCATTTTCAGAATAATTTGGTCTGTGAAGTGCTCTGACATAAAGGAAGCCTCCCTACTGGAACTTCAGTTAACGTAGATGTGCAACTATTAATGGATTTTTTCCCCCAACATGATCTAATACCAAGATCACTGATCTGTTCCATAGTTTGTGATACATTTGTAAATACGTAGCTTTTGATAATTTTTGTACTTTGATTTACCCTGCTTTCAATAAAACTACCTGACTGCTAGGTTTAAAGTTTAAAGTGAGATCTACATTCAGCTTCAGCATCACAAATAGGAACAACTACATACTCACTGCTGCATCTACAGACTTCTCTTTTCATGGGAAAAGGTGAGACCTGTAGACTAAATGTACAACTCTCATGTATCTTTGAGCAAGATAACTGCTTATTTCTGCAGAGTTAACATGAGGACAGTTTGAACTGTCTGCGCAAAGTTGGCTAAGACATGGATAAACATATAGGTAGTCAAGAGGCAAGCACAAGAGAAGGTAGAACTAGGCTGGTGTCCTATACTACTACTTGTGCAGATATTTAAGTTCTTCTAGCTAAGACCCATTTCCACAGTGCTTTAATGAGCCTATATTATTTCGGTTCCCATAGACCATTTAGAAATACAGAGCCATTTATGAGGAGCAGAACACTGGGCTTCCAAGTACTTCAGCTTTCAAGTCACATTTGAAAAAAAATTCATAGCACACTAAAGAATCTTAGACAGTGCGCAAAGGTATTAGTTTACAACTCTACCTGTATTTATTCAGTCCAAGTCAAAAGGGACACCAATCCTTAGCATACAGCATCCAGAAAAGCCAAAGATGAACGAATGAATATTCCTCACTGCTGTCCTCACAACAGCAATCCCTCACTCTTCTATACCTCTTTATTTGAATTACTTGAGGCAGAAGGAAGGTTGCTGAGAAAGTGTCAACACACCAAAGAAAAAAAGGCACATATACTGGAAAACCAGAAGCTGAGGCAGGCAGACATGACCTGCTGCCAGTTGCCAATTATGTATCTTCAAAGGGGTGGGGTGAGGGGAGGAGGAGAATCAATTGCTATTAATAAGCTGAAAAAGTTTTAAAATGTTGTGAAACTAGTTTTACTGCAATCTTACACATTATTCATAACATACAAAAACAAATATGCAAATGTCATTTTTGCATTATGTACTATGTACAAGCTTTCACCACATAATAGCAGGGAGTCAGTAAAAAGGTTAGAAGTCCAACTTAGTACAAATGCCAAGCAGTTTATAAAGTCTCTTTCAAAATGCCATTAACCTAGATGCTTATTTAGATTGTTTTCCAGCAGCAGACATGGCCTGCCTCCTGCCCACTCTATTTCTTGCAACTTATAGCACGTTAACAAGAATTATATTACCACTGCATGGTGGGAGAGCAAAAGCAGCCACATCACCTCTATAAGAGGAGCATTTGCAACTCGCTGGTTCCACCCTTACACTGAACCACGTCATTGCCAGAGGGACATCCATCAGGTATGCAAAGCTGTGTCCAGAGCAAGAGCAGTTGGCCAGTGTACTTGTCAGTACTGAGCAACCCAGTTCATCGCCTCATTTTTACTTTTCTTTTCCCTTCCATTTTTGGTTCTTCACTTTTTTCTGCTTTTGACACCTTGGAAGACTTTGTCTTTTTTTGCTAAAATAAAAAAAGGTTTGGATGTTAACAAAACCACAAAAATAAAACCAACACACAGATTGGAACTGCCACACTAACCTGGCAGCAAAGAACAAGCTTAGCCTGGGTCCTGTTCTCATAGCACTGTCACCAAAATAAAACCTTTGTCCTAGATCAAAAGGAAAAGGGTTCCGAGGCATGTCCCTCAGGCCAGGGACTGTAGCCACCACGTATCCCAGGGTCCCCATTCTCCCTCACTCTACCAATGGCTTAGCGTGAGGATAATCTCTAACACCATCCTTCTCTAAAAGATAGTGTACTAGTTTAACTTCAGTTGGCAGGAAAGCTCAGCTGCTATACCAGAAGGCCCTCCCATGAAGTGTACACTGAACAGTACTCCAGCTAAGACTTTAAATTGTTTTTTTTCAGAAAGTGCCTTGAATCAAGGTTTTGAACACCCCTAGTATTAACTTCTATTTGATTGTAGAACAGGTCAAACAACCCAAGAAACTGGTGTACTAGTTTTATAAAATTCAGCCCCTGTTACTGAGCCTAAAAAGATGGCTTACTAGGAATATCCGTGGCATTATGGTACCATTAAACTAAAAGTTTTACCTTGATCATTGCATCATTTTCAATAGTATCTTGCTCTTCCTCAGACTGGAGTTCATCAGCATTCAATTCTTCATTCAGTTCTGAAGTTAGAGTGGATCCTGCTCGCCGTTTAGATGTCTTCACTACATGCAGTGCATATGGAGTCAGATGGGCCTCTTTGTTATAGGTGCGTGTAAAAGCTGCTTTAACCTGTTCAGATAAGAGACACCAGGAGTATCAGATTAAAATTCCACCTCTGACTAACCAAGGTAGCCTGGATCCAGGGGTTTCGCTCCTTCCTCCCACCAATGAAAAGTATGTGCAATGCCTACAGAGAAGAGGACAGCTATCTGGGGAAATAGAGAAGCACCATGGAACACTTAAGCTGCCTGAGGGTTTAATTTATTTGAATACCATCTTTGAGACCCATACCTCAATGCTCAAAAGTACCTGGAACCTAGAGAGAGAGTCATCCACATTAAGTTCAGTTTAGGCACCACCTACATTCTTAAAAACACTGCTCCAATGCCACTGAATAATGGCAGCTCAGTCTCCTACAGCCAAGTCACCTGAACACCATGATTACAACCAGCATGCTAGTCAGTCTTAGCAGCCTGAAAGATTTTGAGACTAGATGTACTCCCCGTCATTACTTGGACCTAATCTTGTATGTGTGCTCACAGTATTAGTAAAGAACTGGATGCACTACCTCCCAAGCTGCAAGCCTCCATTGTGTGCCCTATGCTAGAGCTGGAGGTAGTGGAAAGTCTATCATGCACTGTACCAGCTTCAGCAATTTCTTAGTTGTCCCCAAACCACCTCAAAACAGTATAAAGCCAAGCATTTTATTTTATAAAATAATAGGATATAAAATAGTAAATTTTACCTTGGGATCCAGTTTAGAGAAGGGACTAGGTTTGCCTCCCCAGCTACTTATTTCCATGATATTTTCAACATCATCTTTCATCAAGCAGTAGGAATCCATAAACGTTACAGCATCTGGCACACCTTCTACTCCTAAACTTGTCAAGGGTCTGACAATTGCGTCCCGCAAATATGACAAATACTCTATGTTCACTGTTCTCTTGCACGTGTTGGTTCTTTGCCAAATGAAAAAGAGAAGCCATGTTACTGAGCATTTCCAGATGTGTCAGCTACTCAGGGCCCAGATGTGCACAGCACCCACAATAAAACCATCAGTAGAGTGGGGAGCCACCAGTACCAAATCACCACAAATGCCTATTGCAAGATTGTAGTCACAGCTGACTGGCAAGGGAGGGCCATGCCACAGCCTACTGCAGTTAGAAAACAGGTCACGTGCATTATTTTTCCAGAGTATAATGGCTAAACGAGCTACAATCGTTTCCTAAAGCTGAGAGAGCGCAGAGGTAATATCCATACCAGTGCAACTTGGAAAGTACAAAAGGATGTCAGCATTACCTGAGACTCATGTGCGTTGCCAGTTCTTGAATGATACGCTCATGTTTTCCTGTAGACGAAAATTTCCCCAGCCAGCTTGGGAAGTTAGGAAACTGGGACATGTAACCTCTCATCAGCTCTCCCGGAAGAACACTGGCATAAATAGCCTAAAAAGGTGAAACCTATTAGAAACTCTGTCCAGAATGGAAACCTTAACGCTGATACCACAACACAATGAAAATATAAACAGGGCTAAGAAAACAGTGCTAACTGCCCAAGCTTAGGTTTGAAACATGCACAAGCACAGGATCAACGATGCTGAGGAACCATCTCTGCAGGAAAAACACATGTCCGTGGATGTAGTTAAAATTAGGCTGGGCCAAGCAATAGAAAAAAAATAAAAGGTGGATAAGCTTGGCTTGGGGGTGGGGGAGGAGGAGGAGGAGGGCAGCAGCAGCTGGATGGATTTCTATGTAGACATACTACTGAAAAAACAAAATGCACCATATATCTGTCAAAAGAAAAATCTAGTTCCTTTATTTTAAAGATTATTTTATGGTCCATGTCCTGAGAAAATTAATTCTGAATTACTAATTTAACTCCCATCTCTCTCTCAAAAAAAAAAAAAAAAAGGATCACCTTAAGAGATACAATCACCTCAAGTACCCCAGAACATGGGGTGCAGATTTCCATGGAGTTTTCAGTCCCAGGAATAAGAACGGATCATAGCTGGGATATAGTGTCCAAGAACAGGACAAATGAAAAAACTCATTCTTTCTGGCAGGACTGTTGGGGATTTTTTTTCTCAATATTGCAGGACCTGGTTCTCTTCCTAGGATCCTCTGAACACATTTTACTTAACATTATGGACTGGTGGCACCCATGTCTTTCTGGATTTATTCCTATATCACACACTGTAGGTGTTTTAATGGGTACTTAGAAACTGTGGTATTCAAGGAACAAGAGTGGGGGAGGTCAAAACAGATGTTTCCATGGGCATTTTAGGATAATGTACATGACTACAAATGCACAGGACTGCACCACATGGTCAAGGAAGCCCGTCCAGTCCTACATTCCTAAGTCTATTTCCCAAAGCTGGAGTGAAGAAAGAGAGAGAAACACAGGGACACTTGCCGAAGTCTAACTGAGAGGGCAAGACCAGACCAACATTTTTAGCTTTCATTGTATAATAAAATCTCTAGTTACTATGATTGCAAAGAAGACAAACTTCAAATCCAAGGCAAGTGCAACCAATGCAGATTTTAAAGCATCAACATTGTTACATTTCATTGCTTAGCAAAAAACAGTGAAAGGAGACGAGTATAATTATGAAAAGCTCTCTCGTTGAGGGATCTCCCAGAATATGTAGGGGGAATGAACAGTAAGCCCAGAAAAGAGAAGTGGAGAAATGCAGATAACATATATTAAGATGGATAGGTTCTTAAAAGTATGAGCGTTGAAGGGAACATAGGTTCCATTTCAATTTCCTGAAAAGGGGTTTGGGCTTTTGAAAGTTTAGAACATACTGCATTATGACATGAACATATAGTTTCACCAAAATTCACACAGGTTACT